GTGCTTCTTGGTACCGCAGTACTGCCCGGTGTAGGTGGGGCCGGTGGGGAACTGGAAGGTACGGATGTCCGAGGGCGGTGGGACCTCGCCCAGCTCCTTGGGGGCCACGAGCCGCACCCGCTCGCAAATATCCTTCTCCTCTATCGCCGACTCCACCACCTCGAGGGGGGTCGCCTCGCGCTCGCTGGAGAGGGTGCCCGAGGACCACCGCTGAAAGGTAACGACACCACTCTCGTAGCGGTAGTAACCGTCCTCGTCCTTCTTGTCGTTGGTGTAGTGGCCAATGTAGGCGGCCAGCTTCTGTTTGTCAAAGTAGTACACGCCCCGACCCTGCATCACGCCCATATCCCATCGGCCGAGGTAGCACTTGCCGGTGTCGGCGTGGAGGTAGATACCGAGGCCGTGCATGGTGTTCTTGCGGTACTCCCCTTCGTACGTCTCGCCGTTTGGGTGGCGCCAGTGGCCCCGGCCGCTGCGGTTGTTGTCGCTGTCAAAAGTGCCCTCGTACACGGCGCCGGACTTGTAGGTGAGTGTCTTCACTTCGCCGTTGTCGGACATTGGAATATGTGGTGGATCTTACTTATTTTTGTGTGTGTATTTTATTTGTTATAGTTTACTTTTTTGATCGGTTTTCACGTTCAAATACAAAAAAAAAAAAAAACTTTGATGTCAAAAAGAATGGGAGGGAGATCATTGTGAAGGCGGAGTAAACTCATTGACGCACATGAGCGTACAAAAGAAAAACTCTCACATTTCAGTGGTTTGATTGTTTTAAAAATTCATAAAAATAAAAATAATGAGTGATCGTTTTCTAAAACGGAAAAGAAAAAGAAAGAATCAGGGAAAAGTATGCGACTAATTTCACATTTGACCTTCTTCTTTCATTTCTCTCCTTTCCTTCATTGCTTACTCAGTCTTGGGCTCGGCGGCGGCCACCTCCTCAGCGGTCTGCTCAGCGTAGTCGCCGGAGACGACGTAGCACTGGTTCTGCATGGAGGCCTGCACCTTGGGCTTGGTGAAGTGCATCGCGGTACCGTCGGCGCGATAGAAGACGGCCTCATCGATGCCATCGAAGGGGTTCACGTTGAGGCGACGGAGGACGTTGGTCACCTTGCGGTCCTCGCCGGAGCTCTTGTGGTGCGCCTTCTTGTTACGGCGAACGGAGCCCTTGCCGCCAGTGCGGACAAGCTCGGCGCGCTTCTGGAGTTGCTCAATGGTGGGCATGATGAAGGATGTTGTGAAAGATCTAGGTAGAGCGAGGGGGGTAGGAAGTAGGTATAAAAAGCTGTAGGGCACACACAAAACTTTAAAAAAAAAAAAAAAAAACTCTTCTTGCCTCGCACACCAGTTGTTGTATTTTTTGTTTTAAATAATCAAATTATAGAAATGAAAAGTAAAAATGAAAGATGGAAAAACATCCCCACTCTTTAGTAGATGCGCTGAGACTTGCCCATGGTGGACTTGATGTACGCAGACTTGAGGTTCTGCCAGTTCTTCTTGAGAAGGGAGACGAGGAAGTTGAGCGCCATGGTGACGTTCTGGCGGACCTGGTCCTCGTTCATCTCGAGGTGACCGACGCAGGTACCGAGGCAGAGCACCTTCTTGAGCTGGAACTTCACGGTGGACTGGAGCTCGTTGATCTTCTCGGGGAGGGACTCGCTGTGGCTGCAGACGGTGGGGAACTTACCGAGACGGTGCATGTGGGGGCCGACGAGACGGGGGACGGTCTTGATGAGAGACTCGGAGCAGAGGAAGGCGTCGTACTGGGCGCACATCTTCTTCACCAGCTTCTTGTTCTTGTTGAGCTTCTTGAGCTCCTCCTGGTTCATGGTGGGGACACCCTGCTTCTTGGCGATATCCTCGTGGACGAGATCGCACAGAAGGCAGACGGTCATGCGGGGGCGGCAGACGTGGGGGAGCTTCACGGCACCAGAGAAACGCTTATCCTTTTGGGGATCGTAGTTCTTGAGGTTGACCTGGAGATCAATGCTCTCCTTGAACTTGCGGGGCTTGTCCTGCTTGAGAACAGCCTGGATGGCCTCCGCGAGCACTTGGGGTTGAACTTTGGACATGAATAGTTTTCCTTTCTTTCTTTTTAACAAAAGTCAGAGAGAGAGAGAAAGAGAGAAAGGAGTGTTGGATGGTCGTTAACAACTGTATTTTGCTTTCAGCTGTCAGTAGTGTTTATCATCCCTTAATGATATTCAATATCATCTTTTTTTTTTTTTTTTGGTTTTAACTAAAAATGAAAATTAAAAAAAAAGCTGTTTTACTTGGTCCATTCCTTTGTCATTCTTTAGTGGTCAGCCTTGCGACGGAAGCGGGCACCCTCGGCAAGCTTGGCCTTACCACCGGTGGGGCGGCTCAGGGTAGCGTTGCAGCGAGTGCACTGAACGTGGGAGGTGGCGTGGCTGTACACCTTGGTGATCGCACCGCAACCATCCGCGGGGCACTGAACATCCAAAAAGTAAGAGTTGGGGCCCTGCACGAGACGACGACGCTTGTGCTTCTGGCGCTCGGCGCGGACGGTGGGGTAGCTCAGGTCAGAATCAAAGAAACCCATTTTTTTATTATAAAAAAGTTGTGTTTAGGTGAACTAAATTAAACTTTTTAATAAAAATATAATATGCTGTTTTTCTTTCTAAACGAAAAAGAAACGCGACCTTTGAACCCGAAAAAAGGAAATGAGAAAAGAGGAAAGCAAGAAAATATGAAACAGTGCTGAAAGCAGTCTCCGACACAAATTCCTCGTTAACCAAACCAAAACGTTCATTGCATACACGCAAAAGCAATATGTGTAGATCAGACGGGGCTAAGGTCAGTTTCACGAGCAAGCTTCAAGGTCCATCTGCGACGGCTTTACATCGGCCTAGATTTCAATCAAGTCTACACAACGGGGGAAAGTCAAGAAAGCAAGAAAATACATCGAACAACCACACAGGGGACCAAAGGACGGTCCGGGTGGGCACGCGTCAGACTGGGGCGACAATAAATGGTATCATGGGGACTCAAAGTCTGTGATGTTACGTCAATCATCATGAGCGGCGAGCACTAATATCGAATATGCATGTGAATGGGTGTCTGGCTCCCCAGTTTCGTGCATCGGGCCTGTTGGGTTAGCGGCGAGAGCACTACTAAGAGAGCGTGAAATACAAAACAAAGTAGTGTGGTGTTGGTGGTGGTGATGTATAATGCATGGTTAGTTGCTGACTCATCATGGCCCCGACGGAGCTAGAGCGCACACAGGATATGCATAGCGGGCACAGCGGCGGCGGAGCAGCGAGACACACACCGAAGTGAGTGCCGTGCATCACACACACCTCCCCTCGCTCTACGGCCAGCCGCAGACAGTGCTGCGGAACGCGAGGATGTACGTCCACGAAGCGAACGCCCACGCGGTGACAAAGGCCAGAGGTCGTACAAGCAGTGCGAAACACAGTAGATCAGACGGGGCTAAGGTCAGTTTCACGAGCGAGCTTCAAGGTCCATCTGCGACGGCTTTACATCGGCCTAGATTTCAATCAAGTCTACACAGCGGGGGAAAGTCAAGAAAGCAAGAAAATACATTGAACAACCACACGGGGGACCAAAGGACGGTCCGGGTGGGCACGCGTCAGACTGGGGCGACAATAAATGGTATCATGGGAACTCAAAGTCTGTGATGTTACGTCAATCATCATGAGCGGCGAGCACTAATATCGAATATGCATGTGGAAGGGTGTCTGGCTCCCCAGTTTCGTGCATCGGGCCTGTTGGGTTAGCGGCGAGAGCACTACTAAGAGAGCGTGAAATACAAAACAAAGTAGAGTGGTGTTGGTGGTGGTGATGTATAATGCATGGTTAGTTGCTGACTCATCATGGCCCCGACGGAGCTAGAGCGCACACAGGATATGCATAGCGGGCACAGCGGCGGCGGAGCAGCGAGACACACACCGAAGTGAGTGCCGTGCATCACACACACCTCCCCTCGCTCTACGGCCAGCCGCAGACAATGCTGCGGAACGCGAGGATGTACGTCCACGAAGCGAACGCCCACGCGGTGACAAAGGCCAGAGGTCGTACAAGCAGCGCAAAACACAGTAGATCAGACGGGGCTAAGGTCAGTTTCACGAGCGAGCTTCAAGGTCCATCTGCGACGGCTTTACATCGGCCTAGATTTCAATCAAGTCTACACAACGGGGGAAAGTCAAGAAAGCAAGAAAACACATCGAACAACCACACAGGAGACCAAAGGACGGTCCGGGTGGGCACGCGTCAGACTGGGGCGACAATAAATGGTATCATGGGGACTCAAAGTCTGTGATGTTACGTCAATCATCATGAGCGGCGAGCACTAATATCGAATATGCATGTGGATGGGTGTCTGGCTCCCCAGTTTCGTGCATCGGGCCTGTTGGGTTAGCGGCGAGAGCACTACTAAGAGAGCGTGAAATACAAAACAAAGCAGTGTGGTGTTGGTGGTGGTGATGTATAATGCATGGTTAGTTGCTGACTCATCATGGCCCCGACGGAGCTAGAGCGCACACAGGATATGCATAGCGGGCACAGCGGCGGCGGAGCAGCGAGACACACACCGAAGTGAGTGCCGTGCATCACACACACCTCCCCTCGCTCTACGGCCAGCCGCAGACAATGCTGCGGAACGCGAGGATGTACGTCCACGAAGCGAACGCCCACGCGGTGACAAAGGCCAGAGGTCGTACAAGCAGTGCGAAATACAGTAGATCAGACGGGGCTAAGGTCAGTTTCACGAGCAAGCTTCAAGGTCCATCTGCGACGGCTTTACATCGGCCTAGATTTCAATCAAGTCTACACAGCGGGGGAAAGTCAAGAAAGCAAGAAAATACATCGAACAACCACACAGGGGACCAAAGGACGGTCGGGGTGAGCACGCGTCAGACTGGGGCGACAATAAATGGTATCATGGGGACTCAAAGTCTGTGATGTTACGTCAATCATCATGAGCGGCGAGTACTAATATCGAATATGCATGTGAATGGGTGTCTGGCTCCCCAGTTTCGTGCATCGGGCCTGTTGGGTTAGCGGCGAGAGCACTACTAAGAGAGCGTGAAATACAAAACAAAGCAGTGTGGTGTTGGTGGTGGTGATGTATAATGCATGGTTAGTTGCTGACTCATCATGGCCCCGACGGAGCTAGAGCGCACACAGGATATGCATAGCGGGCACAGCGGCGGCGGAGCAGCGAGACACACACCGAAGTGAGTGCCGTGCATCACACACACCTCCCCTCGCTCTACGGCCAGCCGCAGACAGTGCTGCGGAACGCGAGGATGTACGTCCACGAAGCGAACGCCCACGCGGTGACAAAGGCCAGAGGTCGTACAAGCAGCGCAAAACACAGTAGATCAGACGGGGCTAAGGTCAGTTTCACGAGCAAGCTTCAAGGTCCATCTGCGACGGCTTTACATCGGCCTAGATTTCAATCAAGTCTACACAACGGGGGAAAGTCAAGAAAGCAAGAAAATACATCGAACAACCACACACGGGGGACCAAAGGACGGTCGGGGTGAGCACGCGTCAGACTGGGGCGACAATAAATGGTATCATGGGGACTCAAAGTCTGTGATGTTACGTCAATCATCATGAGCGGAGAGCACTAATATCGAATATGCATGTGAATGGGTGTACTGTAAATCAGAAGGTAAAGTAAAAGAGAGAGAGAAAGAGAGCGGTAGATGTGAAAAGAAGAACAACACAGCAGGGATGAGATGGTGACGCAAATAGGAAGAGAACGTAAGAATGGATTAAAAGTAATGGAAAGAAAAATAAATGAAATTGTGTCGAAAAAAGCTCGGTCTTTACTTCTTCTTGGGGGCAGCCTTGGCAACCTTTCCGCCGACAGGGGTGCGGGCGGTGGTCTTCTTGGCGGTCTCCTTCTTGGTGAGGGACTTGGCACCGATGCGCTGCTTCACGGCATCCTTGTTGGAGGCCTTCTTGGCGCGCTTGTTGAGGGTGCGGCGGCGCTCAGTGCGGACCTTGCTGCGGGCGTCGAGGGCCTTCTTCACGATGCGCTGCTCCTCCACAAGGAAGGCGCGGACTACGCGGTCGCGGACCTGGGCGTGGCTGAGGACGCCACCGTAAGCGCGGGAGACGCTCTTATCGTGGCGGGGAGCCAGGCGAGCCTCAGTATGGTGAAGCGCCTTGGTACCACCGATGCGCTTGTGGCCGAGAACCCACGGGGTGTGGATACCCTGAGAGCGCTTGGCACGCTTCTGCATGACGAGGGTGTTACCGGGAGTGCGGACCATCTTGACACGGTTACCGCGGGTCGCGTAGTGCATACGGCGACGGTAAGAAACACGTTGGCAGCCCATTTTAAGGTTTTTTTCCTTCACACTATTATTGTGAGAGTGTAAAACAAAGGGAGAAAAGGAAAGTAAGAATGAGTGTGTAAACAATTCATACAACAAAGAGTTAGGAGGGAGAAAGTTAAAGTAAAAACAATAGTTTAAAAAAAAAAAAAAGAGCGGTCAAGGTGAACGCTGCCTTTTTCGCTTCCGTACCTGCAGCACTTCTAACTCCCAAGAAATATTGTCCCCGTCTTTCCGTTGAGGGGAACACACGTGCGCCTCTTTTCCCACGCTTGCCGCCACTCTTGCCGCCCGCACCTTCTCCAGCTCCGACAGAGGACCCAAATAAAACAGAACCTCTCCGTGTTTTAACTGGCGGCGACGGAGTGCCTCGGGGATGGCGGACGATTGTACCAGAGTATAACCAATAAACAGCGCCCCAAATTGACTTCCCGACCGCAGCGCGTAACGCTCTTGGGATAGTGTTTTATACAAACTGATGGAGAGCACATTGTCCTTTCTCATGTTTTCATACAGCTTCTCAGCGGGAGAACCTTCCACCAACTCCACCCGGATTTCTGAGTTGGGCTGGTGTAAGAGGTAATCCACCTCCTCAATGGACAAGGCCCACCCATGCCACTTTTTGTAACACTGCGGAAAGTGTTTCTTCCAGAGCTCCTCCACGTTACCATCCTTGTGGTGGCCCATGTCCAGTAGGAAGAGGGGACCCTTCGTATCTGCTATAGCGATAGCGTCATCCGACGTCATTTTTTCATGCGGACAATAAACAACTAGAAATCAGCTTTTTTATCCATCGTTCAGGAGAAAAGAAAGAAAAATAGGATTGACGACGTTAAGCTCGGGTGACGAATGACGGATTAGAAAACTCTGCAAAGTGATCCGCCCGCGAAAAACGGATCATTGTTTCAAATATAAAAAATTCAAACTTTTTTTTATATATTTCGTTAGTAGTATGTGAGATTCGAAAAATAAACAATAAAAAGAAATTATTTAGTTTATTTGGTTTTAAACCATAATCGGGTTCGTCCTACCGGTACTCTGCTGTCTGCGAGGGTTGAATCTACCATCAAATATTGGTCTATACTTAATCTTGGACAAGTCAAACACCATTCCCTCCTTGTTGGTGACATAACGTTCCTGATCGTACTCCACCGGATCGGTCTCGGGTACGCCTAGCTTACGCTCCTCCATCATCTTCTTCCAGCGTTCGTATGTTTCTCTGTCCATGCCAATAATACGGCCAGTCTTGGGGTCCTCCACAATAATCTCCCCGTCGTCGTGTTCGTGGGAGAAGCGGGTGATGGGGATGCTCGCGCTGTCCCATGGTGCCACCTCTGTGATGGGGGCCTCCTCCTTATTGTACCCCTCCTGATTCGCCCACTTCTGCAGACGCGTCTCCGCCGACATCTGTCGTGCCTTGCCCTCCACCTCTCTAAACGTCGTGTTCTCCGCGTAGTCGAGAATCTCCTCCTTGGGGTACCAGTTGTAGTAGGAGGGGAGGGTCTCCCACTCCACCGTCTCACCCGGCTCTAGCATGGGCCGAAGCTTGGTGCCGTGCGTACCCGGTCGCACCAGCCTGCCATCGCTCAATTGGTGGTACTTGGGGCCGAAGCCGGTTCCCTGCATATGGCGGTACTTCTCCGCCACCTTGTTGGTCCGGTACATGCTAGGAGAGAACTGTCTCAGAGGAGAAACACCTAATGCAGAGTCCGACAAGCTGAACATGTCGTTTTCAATAAAGTCACCAAAGCACTCCACACCGTACGGATTGGTGGGGACGGGGTTGATGATGGCTAATGCACTACGGCGGGAGACGGACATCTGCACACCAAAGTGCCCGCAGGCCTGTGGGGTAGTCAAGCAATGGATGACCGTACCTCTCTTCTGAAACGCAAGGCGCAGCTCCTCATCGATAAAGTACAAGTTGCGCCCAGTGCCGAGGAAGACCACATCGGGGACAGGGTAGAGATGAAGAAGGAGAGCGAGGGTCCGCTCATTCACATCCTCAAAGCTGCTCACATTCCAGTGAAAGTATCCCTTATCGGTGACAATGCAAGAGCCGATCACCTCCTTGTCATTCACGAACACACTATCGGGTGAGTAGGCCGTCACCCGTATCTTAGACATACCTCTGGGTTCCTCTATGCGGTTGGCAAAAGGGTTGGCGTGGTACTGGGTGGCCATCTTCTCCTCATTATAAAACCGCTCCTGCCCCTCACGGGTTTGCAGGGAAAGTCCTGATGCGGTTTTGCCAGACTCCCGCTGTCGCTTCAGCCACTGTGCCAACATCGCACTGTCCTGGGGGCGGTAATCTGGGGTCAGCTTGAAGGGATCGTAGTTGGGGTCGCTGGGGTGGGCCCGTCGTCGCTTCTGCCCCTCACCCATTTGAATATCCGACCGCTTTGACTCTGAAATAAACTTGCGGTACTCCGCCTCGTTCTCCACCTGCAGCTGCCGTCGCAGCAGCGTCGACTCCTCGTCCAGTTCGTAATCCTCTTTTTGAGGCACCTTCACCTGACGATTGGCGGCGTCCACGTCCATGTAATGCTCCCTCCCACCGACCGCGAAGAAGGGTTGCCCATCCTTGGTCCGCGGCACATCCTCCCCATCCAGCGACTTGTTGAGTACCGACTTTTGCTTCTCCAGCCACTTACGATCGCGCTCTACCATGTAATCCTCCACGGACTGCCCCGGGCGTATACCAATCTGAACACTACCCTCCTGTCCATGCATCGTCTTTGCATAGGACTCCTCTGTCATTGGCATTTCGGTGAGGGGGTTGTCCCTCGGATCCGGGACGTACTTGCGCACTGTCCGCTGCAGTAGCTGCTTGGAGCGGGTTTTCCAGTCCGTGTTTCGTTCGAGGGATAGGCAAGTGCGTCGCATCATTTTGCTTGAATTATTTTACTTTTTTCTATCAATTCCTAAAAACTATACTACTACTCCTATTTTTCTCGTCGCTGTTTATTTCAAAAAGAGAATCGGAAGAAAGTAAAAAACTATTCCAGATGGAAGAGTACTTTTGTGTGTGTGTGTGTGTGTGTGTGTGTGTGTGTGCAAGGAAGGAAAGTACAAAAAAAGAGAGAAATTTCCCCTTTTTTATTGTTATATTGGTTTATTATTCATTAATATGCTGTTCATTCCCTCATACACAGAGGGCCTCCTCCAAGCTAGCCACCTGCACATCAGACACTCGCATATTCGCCGCCTCCTCCGCCGACGGCACGACGATAATGCGGCATTCTAATGGGGAACCCTCCGGGGCGGGAATAATGAGCACCAGCTCCTGGTTCTTATCGTCCACCTCCACCACAAGGAGTTGACCGGCCACGGGGGCAAAGGGTACTTCGTCCATTACGGTGGCATGGGACACAAAGCACAGCAGGCCCTTCCAGGACGGGTCCGGCTGGCGCTTTTCCACGCTGCCGTTGTCGCTGGTGGAAACACTACAGAATTGCAAGGAGGGATGGCTGAAAGGGAGGACCACCTTACTTAATCCCAGCGGCTGGAGAGCGTTCCCGATAAAGTATTCCTGCTGCAGCGCCGCGCGAGCAGCGTGGTGGGCGTGAGGAGACAGAGGGGGCACCAGAATAAAGTTGCACTCGGGTAGTGTGCGCTGAATATCCTCCTGCAAATAGGTACCCCAACTGCCCGTTTCCTGCTCCGCTACGGTGGAAGTCACCAGGAAAACATGGTTGGGACGCAGCGCCTCTATAATACGCTTGTAAAAGGCATCCTCCTTGAGGCCTTCCTCGGGGGTGGGCACATCGACTATGGTATAACGTCGCCCCTCGCTGCTAGGGTGTAGCTCCACCGCAAAAGAGTCCATCGTCTCCGCTAGCTGCAGACAGCACTGAAGGTAATACCCAGCGTTCTCTACAGTGGGTCGTCGTGCTCCGCCAGTGAAGAAGTTCACGGTTAGCAATGATGGCCGGTTCGTTTCGCCCAGGCGCAGTGTGTCCAATGAAGGGTTAATCACGCTAGAACTCAGTAGTCCAGTCACGCACCCGGGTGTGTAAAGGGAGTTGGTCTCCGCATTCAAGTCAAGCAGCGTCACCTGCGGTGGGATAACATCTATCGCGTTGTGCTGCTTCAGTAAATTAAAAACAGTGTGTGCCGTAACGGTCTTCCCGGACTGTGCGTTACCGAGGACTACGATTTTGCTATTCTGTTTGGAGGGGATGATCGTCCGGGAGACGTACTGCGACACCGTCGCCGCCCCCGCCGCGTGCCGGACCACCGTCACCTGTTGCTCCGAGTTCACCTTGAAGGAACC